GTACACAGGTGAGTAGCTGGCCGTGCTGGGGCTCAGCCCTTCTTCCCTGATCCACTATGGTCTTGGCTGGCTGCACGGCCTCCCTGCTGGGGTTGTCTTTCATAGCCACCAACATATGCCTGGCGTGACTGGCTGTGGGCACTAAGGGCAGAAAGGGTGGACAAGGCCCCTTGGGGCAGACCCTCCAGGATGGGGATCCTGGGGTCAATCAGGAGGCAGGGCGGTCTGAAGGCTGAAGGCTGCAGGGGACACAGTGCCCAGCTCAGGATGATTGAGTGCTGAGGGCACTTATGTATCCTGGATGCCCCGTCCCTTCCTCTGCTCTGCCTGCTTCAGCCCCTCCTCTCCCACCTGCATGGGGTTGAGGCTGTCTTGGCTGGGGCACCTTGGTCTGGCAGCAAAGGAGCCTCTTGGGGATGTCCCTGGCTTGAGTCTCCTCCTGAGCCAGTCCCCAGCTGGGATTGGACCCCTGTGGTTGGTTCCAACCCTTGAGGCCTCCCCAAAGCCCTCCACCCAACAGAGGAGGGGGCTTCCCCACCCTGGCTCTGTGTGTAGGACAACAACATCCTGTGTCCATGGTCAGGATCCTGAGGCCCCGAGCGGAACTGAGACATCCAGACAGCACTGGCTGGCTGAGCTAGGGCCCGGCCAGGCGGGCTGATGCCATGGGGCTCTCTGCCCTACATCAGCTGAGACTTGTGAAATCGCCAGCCCCTTGCACTCCACTGGTGCTGGGGTCCCAGGCTGCTGCTCGGTGGCTTCTGTAACCCAAGAACCCGGTGGAGGGTTGCCTCCCGTTATGAGCTCCATGGCTGCAAGGTAGGTCACCGGGGGCCTTGCACAGCTGGATCTGTCTCTTGACTCACTCCTCGGGCTGCTGTGGGTGTCACGTCTGGGACCCCAGGATGCCCTCAGGCCTGTTCCTCAGGGGCAGCAGATTCCGGGAAGCAGGGGCCACAGACAGGGTCATACAGGGTCCGCGAGGACTGGACAGTGGCCTCCACATGCACCGGCAACTGTGGCTGCGACTGCTCGCCTGGGGCAGACAGCCCCTACCTGGGCCTCAGTTTCCTCATGTGCTGGCACAAGCCTCGAGGCACTGTGTCCTCATCAGAAAGCGTGTGTGGTGACAAGACAGCTGAGCACATGGGCGCTGGTCTCTGCCTCCCCGTCTGCAGAAGGGCCCCAGCTCATGATGACGGCAGCCTCCCCCAGGCACTGTGGCTACTGCCTGTTGGAGCCTCAGCCGGGCTGGGGGTCCAGGGGGCCAGTGGGGTCCAGGCAGTGCTGGTCAGTGGATCTGGGTGGCGTTGGCGGAGGTTCTGGCGGTGGCCGGTTGAGAGCGTTTGGGAGGGTGAGCTGATAGCACCAGGTGGGGGTGAGGCCCCACGGCCTGTCAGGGGTGTCCAGCTTGTGCTACAGACCCAGCAGGGCAGGGCTCGGAAGAGAGAGGCGGGGGGTTGGGATGGCTGCAGTTACCTGCCAGCCATGGCACGTTCTGGGACAGATTCTCCCAGACCTTGGTCTCTTCTGGCTTTCCACCTTCCCAGTTATTGTCCCATCTGGGGCACTAATTCTTTAATCTTTCCCGTTCACAATGACTCATTTGAGAACTGGATTTCAGAAGGAAGCCACAGCAGTCCTCCAGAGTGAGCCGTGACAATGGAGGCCCCTCCCCTACATGGGAGCTGAGGGACCAGCTGCACACCTCCTGCCTGAGACACACATAGGTTACTTTGCCCCCGCAAGGCTCTGAGGCCGAGGCCGGGTCCTTGTTACCAAAGCCACTGGCTGAGGAGGCAGTCCCTGAGAACCACCCTCTGGTGCCCCACTGGGGTCTGTTCTGGGAGTCTGGGGGTAACTGGATACCTAGGGTGGTGGTGTGTTCACAGGCTGCCACAGGAAGAGGTGACTGAAGGGCTTTGGAGCAGGATCCAGAGGGCACAGGACCCCGGGTCAAGAGCAGAGAGGTCAGGGATGTGGGGGGCATTTGGATGGGTCTGAGCCTGCCTGGGTGGGGTGGGGGGTCAGGACAACAGGGGTTGCAAGCAATGGCTGGGACTCAGTGTGGGTGACAGAGGCGTGGTCAGCTGGGCAGGGGCCAGGGGGGTCCTGAGGGTCCAGGATGATCTTGAGTGTGCAGAGGGCGGCTGTGTTTGGGGGCCCTGACCAGCGCCTCCGGAGGGAACAAGGAGAGGGGTGAGGTGGGATCTAAGGGAGGGAGGGGCATTCCTAGGGGGTGGGGGGGCAGACATAGTGTCACCCCCACCCTCTCCCCCAGCTCCCAGCAACCACTAATCCACTTTCTGTCTCTGTGGATCAGCCTGTTCTGGACATTTCGTGTAAATGGGGTCACACTATCTGTGGCCTTTTGTGTCTGGTGTCTTTAACCGAATTTGATTTGTTCAAGGTCCATCCACGTGATAGTGTGTGTCAGAGCCTCGTTCCTTTTTGTGACTGGGTAACATTCCAGTGTGTGGAGGACTACACTGTGTTTGTCCATTCATCTGTTGATGGGCACTGGGCTGTGTCCACCTTCTGGCTGCTGTGTGTGGTGCTGTTGTGGACATGTGTACACTGATTTTGTGTGGCCACATTTCTCTTGGGTACATACCTTGGAGCGGAATTGCCAGCTCCTGTGGTCACTGTAGGTTTAACCTTTTGAGCAGCCACCAGACCATTTCCCCGCAGCTGCCCTATTTCACATCCCACCTGCCATGTGTGAGGGTACAGCTTCCGACTCCTGGTGTGTGGCTCTGATCCGTGCCTACCTTGCCACGTGGCCATGTGGCTCCCCCCCCCTCCATGGGTCCAGGTATGGACACCCTGCTTGGTCAGCGAAGCCTGCTGGTGTCCCCAAGGCATGGCCACGCTCCCTGCCCCCATGTCTGTGGAGGGAGAAGATGCACAGACCCCAGCTCACAACCCTCCACCCCACAGCTGCGTCTGGAGCACCCCCTGCAGGCGACTCTTTCTCTTAGAGACCCTGATCCCCCAGACCTCAGCTGAGGATGTGGTGCCTGAGCCTTCCTTGTCTGCTGCTTGGAATGGGTCCACTGGGAGCTTGGTGGATGGGGGCATGGGCTCAGAGACCCAGGGAGGGAGGAGCCAGCCACTGGGGAGAACCCTTCCAGCCAGAGGGGCTGGGCGAGGTGAGTGTGGGTCAGGCCTGCTGCTGGTGGGGTCTCTCGGCACAGTGTACCCCGAGGATGGCCCAGTGTCGCTCAGGAGCTGCCCCAGACCCTGCGGCTGCAGGAGATGCACCCAGGCGTGGGAAGGGCCAGTTTGCTCTGGCAATGTGGCAGCACAAGGCCCAGGCTGTGGCAGTGACTGAGTGGCATCTCCGCAATTGTCTCTGCAGGGAAGGGGCTGTGGTCAAATCCTGGGGGAGGGAGTCAGAGCCAGCACTGCCACATCAGCTCTGGAAACATTTCTCCACTGCTACCTACCAGCAGGGGCTGTCCCAATCCCAGGTGCTGGGCAAGCCCCTTCAAGTGGGGTCCCAGCATCTCAGTGGAGGAAGGGGTCACTGTTCCCAGTCGCCAGTGCGCAGGGGGTCCCAGCCTCTGCTGAGCACCTGGCCTGCCCTGTCCACTTTGTCTCCACATAGCCCATTTCCCAGATGAATAGACTAAGGCTCAGAGGAGCATAGGTTATCCAGCTATTAGAAGGCGGAGCCGGCCTTTGGTCCTGGCCTTCCTGACCCCCAGGTCTTTATGAGGAATGTCCAAGACCCCAAATCACAAAGCGTCTGCATGTTCACGTGGGAGGCCCTGTCTCCCACTCGGTTCTGACGAGGTTGTCCCCAGGTCCCGGGCCCACCAGAGACTGGAAGGGGCAGGAAAGGAGGGGACTGGGGGCTCCAAGGGGGCCAGGTCTTTGGGGGCAAGGGAGGGGAGGTGACGTCCTGAGGATAGAGAGGCAGGTGGGGAGCCTGCATCTGAGCCAGGGCCACACCTGCTGTTGTGACAGCTGCCCTCCCTGTTGCAGCCCTGAGGCAGGAGCCCTGGCCCCTGTGGGCCCCTTTTCCTCCAGCCACTGTCCTGGAGCACAGGGCAAGGGCAGTACCCCCCACCCCCACCCGCAGTATTGCACAAGCTGCCTGCCTGCGTGTGGCTGGACGGCAATTACTGGAAGTCCCTGGGATTTCTTCACTCCGGGGCTTGGCCGGGAGTGGTGACTGCTGCCTTCCCTTCCTGCCTCCGTCAGTGATTAACATTCTGGGCCGCCTGCCCACAGAACACGCCCACCACCACCCCGGGCCAGCCTGGGGTCCCTTCTCTCGCTGGAGGGACCTCGGTGGGCTCCTGGCCATGTGCCAGAGGCCACCGGCAGCAGGAAGTTGTTCTTGGGCTCGGGATTGGCCTGGCCTCCAGACAGGGACATGCTCATGGGGGCATTGGTTTGTCCTTACCCCTGAGCAAGGTGTGGGACTCCCTGGCTCTGCCTGGCCCCTGACTGCCCCTGGAGATGCTCTTGCCCAGCCTCGTGTGGCTACTGGGGGACAGGGCTGGTGGACACCCCCAGCTCAGGGTGCCAGGCCCAGGTTGGACTCTTCCCTCTACAGCCTCACATGGGCTGGTCATAGAGCCAGCTTGTGGCTCTGATGCTCAGGGCCAGGGTCCCTGGACACAGGGCTCATTTCTGTGGGTGGTGGGAACAACCCTATGGGACCCACATGATGTAGTCAGGACCGGGGGACAAGGGTGGATGGGGGGAAGGTGTCGTGCTGGGGCAGCAGCTCCTGCAACCCCACAGCCAGAACCAAAACAGGCTTCCTGGCTGCGGCCCCAGGAGGGAGACCCTATGGGACCCACATGATGTAGTCAGGACCGGGGGACAAGGGTGGATGGGGGGAAGGTGTCGTGCTGGGGCAGTAGCTCCTGCAACCCCACAGCCAGAACCAAAACAGGCTTCCTGGCTGCGGCCCCAGGAGGGAGAGAAGGCGACAGTCACGGTCAGAGAACAACCTCAGGACGTGCACATCTCTCCACAGGTCATGATGCCGCCACCACCACCACGGAGCAAGAAGCCCAGATAGACAGCCCCGGGTCGTGGAGCCCCTGCCTGCCACCTGATGCTTGCAGTGGAGCCCGCCATGGACGGGGAGTACCCTCAGCATGAACCCCCACCGGCAGGCAGCGTCCTATACAGCCCACCGCCCCTGCAGGTGAGTCCCAGCCCAGCCCCAGTGGGGTCTGTTGAGCAGGACCGGGTGGGTGCTCTGACATGAATTCACACAGTGGCCTTTATGTGGGATGCTGCCCTCCAGACCATGGCCACGACCTTGACCTTGACCTTTGCAATCCAGAACTCGGCTCAGCCAGCTCCCCCTGTGGCACCTGGAGAGGGTGAAAGGAGGGTTAATCGAAGGCCCTGGTTCCCTCCCTCCCCCCCCCACCCCCAGAAGAATCCTCAAGGGAGTTCCCACCTCCCCCGAGCTTCCAGTTACTTAAACATTAACCGTTGAGTTTCTTTCAAAAAAGTTACTGTCCCTTAGGGAGAGACACTGTGCTGTCCCTCCTGTGGGGGCTTGAGTTTGCCTGTAGGAGCCAGGCAAGGAATGGATTGTTTTTTAAACATTTTTTTTCTATGTAATTTAATAGATGTTATTTTTTAAGCAGTGTTTGGTTTATAAGAAAATCACTCAGAAAGCAGAGAGTTCCCATATAACTCTGTCCGCTGTTTTCCTCTTGTTGACATCTTGCATCAGTGTGGTGCCTTTTACGATTGATGAACTGGTACTGATACATTATCATTACCTAAAGTCCAAAGTTCTCATTGAGGTTCACACTTCGTGTTGAATATTCTATGGGTTTTGACAAATGTGTCCACCGTCAGAATGTCCTACAGAGTAGTTTCATGGCCCTAAAAATTCTCTGTGCTCCGCCTATTCATCCCTCCCTCCCCCCAACCCCTGGCAATCACTGAACTTTTTGCCTCTATAGTTTTGCGTTTTCCAGAATGTCATATAGTCTTGAGCCACAGAACGATGTTTTGGTCAACAGTGAACTGTGTACACAATGGCGGCCCCATAAGATTATAATGGCTGTACCATACAGCCTAGGTATGTCATAGGCTGTACCATCTAGCTTTGTGTGAGTGTACTCTGTGATGTCTGCATAACAAAGTCACCGAATGATGTGTTTCTCAGAATGTGTCCCGTCGTTAAGCAGCGTATGACTACAGTTGGAATCATACAGCGTTTGGCCTTTTCAAACTGGCTTCTTTCGCTTAGCAATGTGCACTTAAGACCCTGCCATGTCTTCTCATGGCCTGACAGCTGCTTTCCTCTCCGCGTTGGACAGCACCCCATTGCGTGGAGGACCACAGTTTCTTTGTCCATTCACCTACTGAAAGGCATCTTGGTTGCTTCCAAGTTTTCCCTCCTGTGCTCGGAGTATCACAAGGGACACAGCAGCCATCAGTAATAGCTGATCTCCTCCTATCACAGATGGTAAAGAGAAGGGTCCAGAATCCTCCTGCGAGTCAGGCCTTCCTTTCCCGGGTGAAATTGGGGCTCTTGACACTTCAGGAAAGACAACAAACCGCGTTACCGGTGGGGAGACTTGAGCTGCCTGAGGCCAGGATGGGAGCAGGGGAGTGCCGGCATCAGTGGCTGCTTGGGCTGCCAGTGCTGCGGGCCAGCGTGGGGGTGACAGCGCAGACTGTGGGACCCACTCCTTACCACAGCTGCTGTTGCCGCCACTGGCGTGGGGCACAGTTTTTGCCTGTTGATCCAGAGCGAGTATATGACACAGAAGGGGACCCCGGACACAGTCATGGTGGGGGAGACTGTGGGAGGTGGGGAGATGGAGCAGGAACAAGCTTGGGTTCCAGAGAGCTGGGAAATAGGCCACCTGAGTCACACAGAATCATTGGAGGCGCCCTAGACCCATCATCCCAGTGCTGGGAAGGACGTGTGCTGGTCCAGAGTTCACCCTTGGCCCACAGGTGCCCACATCACAGGCTGATGTGATAGAACACGGAGTATGAAGTCACGGAAGTGAGCCTCACAAACTGTGGGGCATGGGAGCAAACACTAGTTAGGACTGAACGTGTCACCCACAGCTCAGAAACCTTGGCTGACGTCCAGCAGCTCGGGCCAGGGCTCAGCCTCCTCTCACGCTGCCATGTGCAGCCTCCACCCTGTCCTCCCCTCCTGTTGAAGTTGTGTCCAGTGTCCCCCGCCACCCTCCTTGTCCCCCTGGCCTCCCTCCGAGCTTCCACCCACCAGCTGTCTCTGCCATCTCCTCCCTGTTTCTCCTCTGATCTTCAAGAGTGGTTCCTTCGTCTCCACCCCCCTTAATTTGCTTAATTGTTTCCCTGTCATTGGGCCTTTGGGGAGAGTCCAATTTTCTTCTGCTATAAATAGTGCTTCTGTGTCTTCTTCCCCCCCTTGTGGATTAAGTCCCCTGCAGTGTGTTTCTGAAATAGAATTCCTGGGTCAGAATGAGCTCAGGTTTGCAGAGGATGGAGCTATTCCCACAGGAACGTGCCCCCACCTCGTCCCCTTTACAATGACCAGGAAGCCTACCAGTGGCCAGGGCCCTGCCTACACAGCTGAGGACTTGTACCGAGGGGCTCACAAACTGGAGTCTGGGGGAACATTCGGGCCGCAGTAGGGACCTGCTACATGGGAGGTGCTGGGTGAATCCTGACTTTGGCTCTGAGCCCCGCTCTTGGCAGTCAGAGCATGTGGAGAAGTCCCCCTCTCTGGTGCTCCCTGAGGTTGGGCTGCCCCACGGTGTCAGTGATGGTTGCCTCACAGGCCACACCTGGAACTGGGCTGCTTAACAGGAGAGGACAGCTCCTCTGTCTCCAAGTAGAAAATCCTCAGGCAGGCTCTGATTGGCTGGCTGGGGTCAGGTGCCCATCTCTGGACCAGTCATGTACTAGGGCCTGCCCTCTAAAGATGGAGCCACCCCCTCTGGCTGCCAGTGGAAAATCCTGAGGAAGCCTCCGATTGGCCTGCCATGCTGTGCCACCCCTGTGGGGCAGGTCTAGGGTGACCCTGATTGGCAGCCCCCTGCAGAGCCACAATCTGGGGGAGGATGGGGTCCTGGGTAGACAAAGCCATGACTGTCCCCCCACTGTCACATCCCCCAGCCTGAGGCCTCCAGCCTGCACTGCCTGGGGGTCTCTTGCCTGGGCACAGGTAGAGTGTGTTGGATGACCAAGATCCCCTTGTTCCTACCATCCTGGTCCCACTCTGGAGCCACAGTTCACTCACCCAAGGCGCAGTCTGTGCACCCCGAGGCAGTTCACTGTAGTTCATTTAGGGAGGCTGCATGGGGTCTAGAGTCAGAGTTCTGCTCCGGAATGTTCCAGATGTGCCACATGGTCTTGGGAAGTTCGTGTTCCTCTCTGGGGCTGGATTTCTCTCCCCCACAAGTGGGCAGGGTGGGGGTGTGTGTGGAACATGAGACCAGGGCTCTGGGGAGACACGGGGTTGCCAGGAGACCCTACCCAGGCCATGGTGGCCCTAATTCCTTCCGGAGGCTTCTCCAGAGCATTCCTCGTGAGTGTGTTGGAGCACAGGAGGCCTGGAAGCCCCTGACCTTTGTGCTGGGGAGAGGCCCCGTGGCTCCCCCAGCCTCCCCAGCACTTTATTTTGATAAACTTCTTTTGTAACTTATGCCAGAACTGGAAGGGCAGGGCGGCGAGCCCTCAGGCTTCTCCTTCCTCTCGGCTGGCAAGCCCCTCCAGAGGTCAGTGATGAGTGGCCGGGCTGATTCCTCCCCATGCAGTTCCGGCCATCTGGGCTGGGTCCGGGCCAACTCTCAGTTAATGAGTCTAGGGGAGGGCGGAAGTAGCTGAGCCCTGGGGAGTTGCATTGGGGCTTCACGGAGGAGCAGGACTTGCATGGGCCTGGGGGCCTGGTGGAGGTCGTCCAGGGGCCTCAAGGGGCAGTGAGCGGCCCCCTCCACTCCAGAAGCTGGCGTGACACCCAGAGCTGGCTGAGATGAGCAGCACAATGCCCCCAGCCGGCAGCCTCTCCTCAGTGATGGCAGTGGCAGGGGGTGGGGGGAGCCTTCCCTGATGGCAAGTCTGGAGGAGAAGCGGGGGTCCCAGGTGGCCCCACTGTGGGTGGGCTGGCTCTGGGACAGGGAGGGGTCCTTATTCCACAGGGCGTGTGAGGTTTCCATGGCCCACACCCTGAAGTCCAAGGTCCTGACCCTAGACCCAGGCTCACACCTCCACTCCACCTGTCCCTCAGTCCTCAGGTTTTTGGGGCCCACTGTGTGCCAGCACTGTTCCAGTTAGGGGGGATCAGGGAGCTTTTCCCCAGAAAATTAGTTGGGGGGGATATCTGGTGCAGGCAAGGTTGTTCTCGGTGGGCCACAGCCTGGGCCTGGTGAATTAGCTCCCGAGGTGGCCAGCTGGGAAGCCCCAGGGCAGGGGCCAGACTCGCAGCAGAGCCCTCGCCCCCTCTAACACTGGCCCTGCACGAGAGGGGCTTGGCAGGGCTGGGGGTCCCAGGTCCCCTCCCGCGAGCCTGACACCTGCTCTCTGTGTTTCAGAACGCCATGCTGCATTACCCCTGGTGGAACACCTTCTCTCCGGTGCCCTACCCAGCCTTCTCCAGCGAGAGCCAGTAAGTGTCTTGGACGGGTCCTGCCCCCAGCAGAGTGAGCCCCATCCCAGCCTGCCTCCCCCTGGGGGCTTCACCTAGCTCTGAAGTCACAGTTACAGACAGAGCTCGCCTCTGTGAGGGCTCAGCTGGAGGTCCTGGCTCGGTTCTACGCCCCCCAACCCCATGTTCGGGCCCTGGTCCTGGTCCCACCCCCACCCTCATGGCTCGGCTTTGGGTACACAGAGGCTGCTGAGACTGTTGTGGACCCTGCCTTGTGAACAGCTGGGATCTGGCTTAGCCAGAAGCCAGCCAAGGAATGGGCAGAGTAGTGGGGGTGAGGGAGCTGGGGAGGGCTCCCCTGCAGAGGTGACAGTGGGTGGGAGAGGGTTAGAAACTTCCTGGGGCAAAAGAAGCCAAGAGGGCTTCTCACAGAGGACAATGACTGAGCTGGGTTTTGAAGGGTCAGTAGGAGTTTGCCAGGGGGAGCAGGCCTGGCAGGGACCAGGGGCATTCCAGGCCGAAGAAGTAGCCTGTGGGAAAGGCTGTGTTGTGGGAGCCTCAAGAGGAGCCTAGAAGATTCTGGAGTGGCTGTTCAGGGGCCAGGGGCAGGGGTAGGTTAGGAAACTTGGGAATTTATTCACAACCCATAATAAGGGTGGATGCCTCCCCGTCCCGTCCCGCTCCCAGGCTCGCACAGGCCACCCGGGGCACAACCCTCTGCAGATGGCAGGATTCTACTCCTAGGGTCTGGAGAGAGGTGGCCACCGGTTTATTCACAACCCATAATAAGGGTGGATGCCTCCCCGTCCCGTCCCGCTCCCAGGCTCGCACAGGCCACCCTGGGCACAACCCTCTGCAGATGGCAGGATTCTACTCCTAGGGTCTGGAGAGAGGTGGCCACCGATGGGATGGCCACGTTGGCCCTGTCCCTGCCACATACCTCTCCTCGGTATGTCTTTGGTTGTCCTCTGGGTGACAGAGGGCCGGGCACAGGTAGACTGTGACATAGTCCCTTCCTGGGTTTCTGAGGGTGGTGCTGTCGTCTACCCCATCCTGGCTAAGATGGGTGTGGAGGCTGAGGGGGTTGTGTGTGGGCAGGGACTGCCCAAGTGGGGTGGTAGTCAGCTCCCAGGGTGTGTGCCCTGGACCGTGGGCACTATGGGGCCCTTCTCTGAGCTGAGTTTCAGAAACACCAGAGTTCTTCCTGTGAGCGGGTGAACCCCCACCCCTGTCCTGTTGAGGGATTAGGGAGGACAGGGTACAGCTCTGATGCCCTCTGCAGCAGGGTGGCCATTTCTAAGGAGCAAGGTCGGGCTCTGTGTCCAGTGGGGTGGGGATGGCAGCCTGGGACTTGGCCATTGGACACTGGAAGCCCTCTCTGTGCATGGGGACAGGCCTGAGCCCATGCAGCGGCTGCCACTCCTGATCCTAACAGGGCTGGCTGGGCTCCACCATACTGGTTGGAGCCAGAACACGGGGAGGGAAGGAGAGCCCCATCAGAGGGTCTGGCATCCCCTGCCACACCCGACGGTCACTTTACTTCGTCTCTCCTCCCAGCCCGTTCCTGAGCTCTGCCTCCTTCCTCGGCGGCCAGCCCTGCCCAGACACCAGCTACGCCCCTGTGGCCACTGCCTCCAGCTTCCCGCCAAAGAGCTACGACTTTCCTCAGGTAGGAGAACCACAAGCTTGCTGAGCTGTCATGGGAGCCTGGGTGGTGTCCAAGTGTCCCTCCTGCCTGCCCCCATAGCCATGCGCCACCCAGGGGGCCTGATAACCTTGGCTGAGCCCTGGCCCAAGGGGTTCATCAGGGGTACTGTTTGGAGCTGGAAATCATGGATCGTCCTTTGGGAGCAGCCGATGACCAGGCCACCTTGGCCTGCAGGCCTTGGGAAATGAGCCTGCCTCAGAGCCTGCGGCCACCCACAAGGGCTGAGAGTCATCCCCAGGGTCTGGCCTCCCTGGGCCCCTCTGGCTATGCCCACAGGGTCCTGGGAAAATCTGTCCAGAGGTGGCTTCTGCATAGTGGGAGAGCAGAGGTCACATAAGGAAAGTTGGGGGTGGGCGTGGAGAGTCAGCCCACGGCAGCCTTCTCAGAGCACCCAACCCTCTTCCCCACATGGCCGCATCTCCCACCTGGCAGCTCCAACACTATGAGTGTTTACTTCCTGATAATGCCGCAGCCCTCTGAAAAAAATGGCCCATACCTTGAAGGAGGAGTGAGCATTTGATCTTTCTCTCATGGGGGATTCTGGGAGCCGCCCAGCATCCCCGCTGTGGAACCAAGTGGGCCCCACCTTGCCCTGGTGGCCTCACATGGGATTTGCTCGGTACCTAAGTTTCCCCATGGAGGCCCTGGAGAGCCCAGTCGCAGCACGGATTGGATCCACTGGAAGGGATAAAGTGCCTTCGGATACTGGAACTGTGAATGGCCTGGGGCTGGCAGACAGTGTGGGGCCAGCAGGCATTTCCCTCAGAAACTTAAATGCTCAGCGCAGGCTCCAGGGCTGACTTGGCACAGAGTTTGGGCTTGGATCCACTGGAAGGGATAAAGTGCCTTCGGATACTGGAACTGTGAATGGCCTGGGGCTGGCAGACAGTGTGGGGCCAGCAGGCGTTTCCCTCAGAAACTTAAATGCTCAGCGCAGGCTCCAGGGCTGACTTGGCACAGAGTTTGGGAACCAAAGCTACTGTTGGTGGCCAGAGCTGACCAGCTTGGGTCAGATGACACTCAGGGCCAGCCAAGGATGAAGTAGCTCAGAATCCAGTGACAAGTGTCCTAAGAAGAGAGGAGACACAGGGAGACACTGTGTGGTGACAGAGGCAGAGATTGGAGTGATGCAGCCACAGGCCAAGGGATGCCTGGGGCCCCAGAAGCTGGGAGAGGCAGGAAGGATCCTCCTGTAGGGCTTCTGGAGGGAGCCCGGCCCTGCCACAGCTGGCTCTCAGCCTCTGGCCTCCAGAACCAGGAGAGGATAAACTCTGCTGTTGGTGGTGCTCTGTCTTGCCCACCCTAGGAAATGAACGCATTGAGTGTCCGAGCCGGACAAGAGCTGCTCCGCAGGGACTCAAGCAGAGGGCGCTCACCTGGTCTCCTTCCTTTTTGAGGGCTTGTCCCAGTCTCCTCCTTTTTTGGGCCTGAGTCCCCCTTCCAGAAGCCACAGGGTGAGGACGGACATCCTGGACAAGAGACAGGGCTGCCCGGTGGACACTCCCTTGCAGCACTGCTGTCCTTCGTGGCCGCAGATGCCCAGGACTCTGGCATCCATTGCCCTGGGCCCAGGAGGCATCTGTGTGCTTTGAATGAGGGATCCAGCAGGAGTCCACACAAGGCTCCAGGCTCCTCCAGCCCACATTCAATCCCATTCCACCCGCTCGCCTCCCTGGAGCCGGCCAGACCCGACTCCCACGTCACATCAGACCAAGGATTAGTGTTTTACCGTCCCAGGGAACTGCTTTCTCCCGGGGAGACCTGTCACAGCCTAGAGAAGATGCTGCACTTGCCTCCTAGAGGTGTCTGTGCAGGGGGCTGGCCCCTCCCTGCCCGCAGCTGGGTTCTTCCCAGCAGAAGCATATGCTGTGGCTTTGACCAGAAGTGAAGAACCCAAGGCCTGTGGTGGCTACTTGGCTCAGGACTCTGAGGACGTGCCCATGACACTGTGGCTGTGTGAGTGGGGACATGGCAGCAGTGGCAGTGGTGGTGCACATGTGTGCCCTGGCCATGGCCCGGCCGGTGTCTCTGGATGCCACCTGAGTGTTCCAGTTCAGGCCGAGGCGTGCTGAGCTGGCGCATGTCCCTGCTGGACACATGAGGAAACCGAGGTATGGGAGCTGCTACGCCCAAGGCCAGTGTCTGCACTGCGACCTTCACAGGGACAGAGGGAAGCCTGGGGGAGGCTCCCCCACAACTCCCACCCTCACCTTAGGTAGGGTTGACATTTGTCACAGCTCATTCCTCACAGCCACTGCCACCCACCAGCCATGCCCCTTGGCTTCCGTCACTCGCTGCCCGTCTCTCTGCCTCTGTCCCTCTGTACCTCTGTCCCTCTCTGTTTCTCAGTTTCTCTTTGTCTCTATCTCTCTTTCTGTTTCTGTCTCTCTGTCTCTGTCTCTCTCTTTGTCTTTGTCTTTGTCTCTCTGTTTCTTTCTCTCTTTGTCTGTTTCTCTGTCTCTCTCTGTCTCTGTCACTCTCTGTCTCCCTGTCCCTCTCTGTTTCTGTCTCTCTATCTCTGTGTCTCTCATTGTCTCTGTCTCTCTGTTTCTGTCTCTGTCTCTCTAATTTATTCAACCGACATCCGCCTCCCTCGAGGCCCTGCCAAGAATTTATGGGGCTTCTAAGCCAAGAGCCCCTCTGGGGCTGCCTCGCTCACTTAATCTGCTCCGTGTCTAAACCTCGCTTGTCCCTACACGTTTGGCGACGCACAGGCCAGTCATTATGCCTCATTAGAGGTGGCCACATCCGTCCAACAGATACTTATTGAGCGCCTGCCAAACACGTGACCAAGAGCACCGCCCCCAAGGCTTCCCTCCCTGGGCTCACCTCCCCAGCCCACGCTTCAGCCGCCCCAGGTCAGGGTCTGCCTTTTAAAGCAGCAGAACCTTCTTCAGATGGAACCCTAGCCCAGTGCCGAGTGTGGGATAGGACAGGTGCAAGTGGGGTCAAGCCAGGGCAAGAGGTCCCCAGCCCTTCTCTCAGCCACCTCCCTCTGTCCTGTAAGCCCCAGACCTGTGGGCCCAGCCTCATCGTTCCGCAGAGCCAGGAAAGAGCCCAGACCAAGCCTGGCACTTGAAGCCCTTCACAGCAGTGCCATGTCTGGCCAGGCCCACCACAGAAGCCCCGCAGACAGCGTGATGTCCACGCAGTAACATCCCTGTCCCAGTCCCGGGACCTGTGGATACGTCATCTTCCATGGCAGGAGAGACTCTGCACGTGGGATGGAGTTAAGGATCTTGAGATGGGAGATCATCCTGGATTACCCGGGGGCCCAGTGTCCTCACAGTGTTCTCATAAGAGGGGGCAGGAGGGTCAGAGGCAGAGAGAGACTGGAAGACGCTGCACTGCTGGCTTTGCAGATGGAGGAAGGGGCCACGCGCTGAGGGCTACGGGTGCCTCTAGAAGCTGGGAAAGGAGGACATGGGTCCTCCCCTGGTGAGAACCGTGTCAGACTCTGACCTCTAGAGTGTGAGAGGTCAAACGTGTGGTGTTAAGCCATGACGTTTGGTAGTTCTTGCAGCAGCAAGAAAAAACTGATGCACTGCTGAAAGCCTTCATGTGGCCCATGGTGTATTGTACTGTCTCTAGAAATGTTTCCTACTGTCATATCAGTCAGAAGGAACTGGAATGGGAAATCCAGAGCTGGTTGTGGGTGAGTAGTGAATGTGAACCTGCAGGCCTGAACATGCCTGCTGGTAACTAAACTTGAGCCCTGAGTTTCCTGGCAGCCAAAGCAAAAAGAGAAAGGAGGTGAGCTGTGTGGCACTTGCTGCCTCTTTGTTGTGGCCAACTCTTCCCATTTCCCTTTGGAGTGATTCCCTGGGGCCAGCATGCCTCTCTCGTGACCTCCAGGACTGCACATGGACAGAGGTGGCCAGGCCTGTGGCTGGTCATGGCTTCAGCCCCCTCTCTCATCACCTGACTGAATCATGGAGCTGTTGGCCTCACTTCCTGGGTCCCTCCCCTTGATTCTGCACATGAGCCCACTGAGGCCCAGGGACCAGGGAGGGCAGGATGGTCACCCTTCCATTTGGGTGTCCTCATTTCACAGATAGCATGAGGGACTCTGTGCTCTTACGAATGCAGGTGGTCAAATTAGCGGCTTTACTGGGTGTGGCCTCAGGCAGCCCCCGCCCCTGTGGCCCTCCACCCATCACTCCTACCCTGCTCATGTTCAGACCAGGTGCCCACTGCCCAGAGCCTGGAGACACGGGTTCAGCACAAAGGGATTATCTGCACAAAAGGGTTATCTGAAAAATGAAGCTGACACTCATCGAGGTGTTCTGTGTGTTTGAAAGTTTTCATGAGGTCATGTATTTTAAAACATTTTAGAGAGCTTACTGGTGAGCTCAGTTTCTTAGAGCGTGGCGTCACAACACCAGGTTGAAGGGTTTAGATCCCCATACCAACCAACTGCCAAAAAAAATAATGATAATAATAAAATATTTTAGATGTACAGAAAAGTTGCTTTGTACAGGACAATTGCAAAAACTGAGTTCCCAAGCCTCCCCCACCAGCCTCCCCAAGCGTTACTATGCTGTGTAAGCACGGCCACGGTGCGGGTGTTACCCTGTGTATTAGTCCGTTTTTGTTGCTTATACCAAAGTACACTGAACTGGGTGATTTATAAGAAAATGAAATCTATTGCTTACAGTTTCTGAGGCTGGGAAGTCCAAAGTTCATCTGGTGGTGGTGACAGTGACCCAGGGGTCTCACATTGCAAGATGGTGGAAGCAGAGCAGAGACAGCAAAAGGCAGACTCTCCTCTCCTTTTAAAGCCCTCAGAACCACGCCCCTGACCACCATTTTTAGTCCACTCACTACTGCACGGTCCTACAATCCAATCACCTCTTCAAGGCTCCACCTTTCAGTGACCATAATAGGATTTCCCACCCTCTTCACAGTCACAGTAGGGGCTGAGTTTCTAATACATAAAACTTGAGGGACACAATTCAAGC